TAGGGAAAGTTTTTCCTGTACCATATCATAAGATGTAAAACATGGATGAAGCAAATATCTAACAATTTTCAGACGCATGAATTGAAATGATTAGGGTTTACCAGAGGCTGCATCGACGAATTTTCCATCGATTAGGAGGTGGGTGTACTCAACCTTCACCGGTGGAGGAATCGGCTCCCCGAGAGCAGCAGCAGCTGTGCTGTATCTGCTTATGTGTGGGATCTTCCCTGAAGAAAACTATGCTCATTAGATCCAATTCAAGTTATGTAGAAAGGGAAAATCTTATGATTCATCCCAACCAACAATCAAAACATCAAATTAAAGTAAAACCAGTGAGAACTTCAAAGCAGAGAAATTAAAAGGATGTATCCAAGTAATCCAGAGGAATGATTAAGACAACCGATATATAATTAATACATGTGGGGATCAGGAGTTCGTCGCCATTAATGCAAGTATGGCAACAAAAACTCAGCTGATTCCGTCAAAACCCTATCTATTTTCTCGGGAACCAAACAAACTGAAGAGAAAAAAACGATCCTATCAACCAGATAGGATTCAAAATTCAAACGAGAACGATCGATGTGAGAGATTCAAAGGCGCAGAACAACGATCGAAAGAGAAAAATGGCGAACACCCAATTGCAATAACAAGAAAAATGGAAGGATTTCGGGTCATCATCAAGCATCAACCGCCCAAACACCGTACCTCTGAGAAGAAGCGAAGAAGACGAAGAAGCTACAGAGCGAGAGAGCAGAGAAGAAATCCTCCTCGACGCCATGGCAATACCTTCTCTTCCTTCCTTTACCAACAAAAAAAAAAAGCTTTCTCTACTCTTCCTTCGCTCTGCTTAGCTACGCCTGCGTATGAAACGCCCTAATATATAAAGAACAAGTTTGAATATTTCTATTCAAGATTTTCTTTTTAAAATTCCTTTTTTTTTTCTTTTTTTTTTTTGCATGCATGATCTCTGATTTCAGGAATTTCGGGAAAACAAATTGACGATAATGCCATCTGACCAAGGTGCCACGCAACACGTGGAAACGACCGACAACCTACCATCGACCTGTATAACATAATCTATTGTCAAAAAAAATAAAATAAAAATGGATGAGATCATACAAAATCTAATGGCAGAACTCATGTGTGGAATACATAAATGGACTGTTGTTATGAAGAATATATCTGGCATAAATAAATACTTTCTTATTCGATTTCTCATAAATTATTTTTGGCCATTTTTATTGTCGATCCTTTGTTACTAAAAAAAATATAGAACACAAAAGCTGCAGAAGAAAAAAAAAAGTAACGTAAAGTTTTTTCTTTGTACAGCCCAAATAAATATTGCCTTCATTTCTTTTTAATATTATAGAAAGGTGATAGTCTAACAAATCGCCATGACGATTGCGACATTTTGTTCCGCCTTCAAGTCACTTTTCTTCCTCGTGTTTACATTTCAAAAGATAAAATTTTCTTCGACTTGCGCCAAAATCTTACTGAATTGAAACTGTAAACCCTAAATCAAGAATTCGATCCTAGAGCGCCACGTGGATCTATCTGGGCAAAACTATAACACAAATAACAGTCGGGCCAAATAAAATAATAATCGAAGAGATAGTTATATGGTTTGTATATGGTTATAAGGACGGATTAGATAAACTTCCATACGAGAATCCCAAGGAATATGAACATAGAAAATTCAATTGTTACATTAATGAAATTTAATTACGGAATACGAATCAGTGGTCCATAACGTACGCCCTTTCCAGCCGAGATTAGGTGGGTTAGATGACGGATGAGAGACTTGAAAATTCCACACGTGTGAAGAAAAATATATAAATAAGAGAGACCGTAGATGTACGTAACTCTTGCTTCTCGACGAAGACGTACACGCCCCAAATTTTTCAATTTTTTCTGCGGAACCTTTATAATACGTACAAAATATGTCCGTTGACAAAATGATTGTTCTAACTCGAAAAAAAAAACACTATTTAGTATTGATTATTTGTTCATTCTAAAGGAGAATATCCTTTTTATTTAATTTTCCAAAATAATCTAACACTTAAGTTATATAAATAAAAAAATCCTAAGATTCCTAACATTACTGAACGATGACACAGTTTGTGTATTCTTAATGTATGAATTAAATTATGGAAATTAGTATTTTTTTTCTCTAACAATTATCAACTATTCTTGTCTGTTTTAGTTTTTCACGAGTGAGAAAATTGTGGAAAGTAGATACCATCAGTATATACATGTACATAGACATTATTTTAAATTTGTTCTTTTTATAATTAATTATAACGGGGAGATGCATAAAATCGGCCCGACCGCTATGGACCGCCCTTCGCACCTCTTGACCATGTGGAAATAACGGGCCTATATTGGGCCTTTACTGGACCCATCATAAATTTTCTGATAATGTCCTAAAAAAATGAAAGCATGGCATGGCCCGAAACCGCATATGCTAAATTTTAAAGGACCGACGACAACTAACACAATATAATAGATTTGATATTTGACATTTTATATCTCACTTTCATCAAATTTATCACGAATATGAAAATCTTCAAAGAGAGTTCACATACATAAAATCCATGTTCTTACTACCAGATTTGTCCATTTTACTATTTAAAATTATCATAAGGGCATTATTATAATTATGTATATGGAGCTTATCTTATGGGGTTCTTAATATAATATGCCGATGAAATGGACGAGGGAAGCATATTCGTGAAGCTTTGCCGATGAAGGGCAAATTCGTCTTTGTTGATGGAACCCATTAGGGGTAGCCATTTCGGTTATTAATCGAATAACCGAATCGAACCGAACCGAAAAAGACATAGTCGTATCTGAACCAAACCCGACATCAAAACCGAATGGTTATGATTTTCTTAAACCCGAAAAAATCAAAACCGAACTGAACCGAATAAAAAAAATAACAGAAAAACCGATATTTTTTTTTTTGAAAAAATGAACTTTTTACCAAACCCAAATCGAAAAATAACCGAACTGAACGGAACCAAAATTTATATAAAAACCGAATGATTATAGTTTTTCTATAACCGAAATAACCGAACCCGAATATAATCGAACCGAATCCAAATCGAAACCGAATCTGCCATCCCTAAAACCCACACAGAGACGCGAGGACGAACACATATACTGGGATCTCATAGCCGTAGTAAACATTTTCTGATATCATGTGAATAATAAAAAATATTTTTTATTATAAACTTTTTAAATTTTAAACTGTAAAATCTTTAAATATAAGTTTACTAAGAATGATATTAAAATATCAATATAAACAATTTTATTAGTATGATTTTCTCAAACAAATTTCGAGTCAATGTAAGAATATTTGGATTTCATTTTAGATTTATAGACAAAATAATATAATTATTGAATATATTAATTAATAAATTTAACAGTAAAAAGATTTATCAATTTAATAGAGAATAAACGATTGAAACAAAACATAGAAAATAGAGAAATACTTTGATAATGATCATATTTCTCTCACTTTAAAAAATAAATTATTTGTAATTATATGTGCAGTAGATGTCTCCTTTTTTGGATTTATAGTATATTTAGTTAATATTGAGCAAATTTGATTGATTTTTATTTTTATTTTAAATATTTTTCTTATTAATTATGTGTTTTGCAACGAGTATATTTGGTTTTAAGTAACGGTTCTATTCAATTAATGATACAAATCCGTTACTATTCTAGACTATAATTTTTCAATAAATATATATATCATCATTAATAATTATTTGAAAAAGAAAGAGGCCTTATAATATTTGGGACTGTTACCACGAACCAGTTGCGTGCCATTAGATGGTCCTGCTCTTAATAAATGTAAGTAGGATCGATCATAATTTGACAACACATTATAAGTGCCGAAGACCCACAAAAAAAAAAAGTATTTTCTAATAAAGGAAACAATATAATATTAAACTTTGACCTTACGCTCGATGTGTCTCCAAATAGTTTTGAATAGATAATAAACAAATATTTCTACTATCGGCAACAAGAAATAAAATTTGAATTAAAACCTTCCGTCTCTTTCCAAAACAAAATTATTTGATAAAATAAATATTTCATGCATTTTATTAGTAATGAGATGCGGTGGTCGAGACTGTCGGTAAATATATATTGAAATGTATTAAAATAGAAGGAAAATCGTATATAAATATCTAAATTTATATAAAAATTCTGTATAAATATCATAATTATAAAATTTTAATATAAATATATGATGTTTTCAAAAATCCTAAATACTTCTACTTTTGCAAATTTTGTAAATAAATCTAAAATTTAGATATTTTTCAAATAAATAAAAAAATTTTAGAAAATAATTAAGGCTATAACGAAGGACTAAAAAGGGTGATCGAGTGAAGTTGGACAGGTGGCTGCGAGAAGAGAGGTACAGTTTTCATATTTAGGCATGATGATAAAGTGCGTTGTCGATCATATCACGCCCACGAGAATTAATCATTTTCTCCCAATCCATATGTAATTATTGCATGATTTAAAGGCCCGGTTTATTTTTTAATATTTTTTTTCCTCGCAAAGGGTTTTTAATTATCAAGCACGTTATTAGACGTAAAAAAAAGTCTCCCGTACCATTAGAAATTTTGTTTAAAAAAACATATAATTGCTGCGTATGAAATAGAGGAGATATGAGTGAATGATTTTTATTAATAATATTTTTAAAATATGGTTGTTAGAAACCCATTATTCCAAGGGCCATGCAATCTGCATGGCACGACCAAATTCGTACGCTTCCTCGTGGGCCATATTTTACGTAAATTTCTTTTTCTAGTGAAACACTATTCTTCGTTTAACCCGACATATTCTCCAATAAATAGACGATTCATCTCTACACAATATTTTTGTGGTAAAATATAATATTAAGTACAATCATTAGGGTGGACATTTTAACCCATAATCCGGAGGTTTCAGATATCTGACTTAACAAGTATCTGGATATTAATAATAACGAGATCGAGTATAATGAAGCCGAGTTTTTTACCTCCGGATCTGGACTCGAATTTCAATTATTTCATAACGGGTACCTCTGGGTATCCGGTATATTTATTAAAAATTCAAAATATCTTTATATTTACAATATTTATCTAAGGTTTATATAAAAGAAAACATTTATATAGTATATTTATTACTTACTAAAATACTTTAATTTTATTTTCTTAGTCTATATAAATTATGGAATCGAGTTTTGAATTTTATTTAAATTATTTTTTATGGAATTTTATAAGTTATAAAGTTTTGAATTTTATTTGTATGAGTTTGGGTATCACGAGTAAGAGATTGAGAATCTTATTGAACCCGAGTTAAGGGTACCTAGATTTCATGAAACCAAAAATGAGATTATATTTTTGTAAAACCCGTAGTGATGAGATCGAGACCGGATTTCTTAAAAAACGGGAGTATCCAAGCTGTGCCTACCCCTAACCACTACAAAAAAAGCGCTAAACTACGACGGACATTGCGACGGATATGTCCGTCGCAATAAAATTAACGACGGCTAACGACGGAATACAGACGGTAAACACTCTGACGTATTCCGTAGGTTTCCGTCGCAACCTAAGACGACGGAATGTGACGGAGTACTCCGTCGCAAACTTATTGCGACCGAAAACGAGGGACTTCCGACGGAATTATGCGACGGACTACCCTCCGTAACTTTCCGTCGTTTTTTAGCGACGGAAATACGACGCACCGTATCCGTCGTATAGTTAGGTATAGTTAGGTGGGAAACGTTTTTTTTTTTGCCAGAATGTCCGTCGCAAACGGTCGCATTCCGTCGTGAGTTCGGTAGTCCGTCGGTATCCG